CCCATGTCAAGTCCCTCATCTTCCTGACTCTGTGCACATGTCCCCATGTCAAGTCCCTCATCTTCCTGACTCTGTGCACATGTCCCCATGTCAAGGTCCAGAGTCCCATTTCTTTCCAATCAATGCTCGGACTTCGAGGTTGAGAATTCAGTGGCATTGTAATTCGGCCACTCTTATAAGACTCAGTTTGTTTTTAAAATGTTTTCTTTTAAGGCACAAGTGGAAACTTTGAAGTCTTCTTTTTTTAACTTTGAAGTCGTCTTTTATGTGGCATTTGAGCTGTGACTCAGAAGCCCTGAGCTCATCTCTTTCCTTTACTACTTTCTCTATTGTAAGTAGTATCAACCCACTCACTGGCTTCCCTATATTTCTCATTCTGACAGAAATGCTGAAAATAGCAAACATGATTGCCCAGACCCTCACTTATCACCAATACTTCATCTATTGGTGGTGATATTTGGTGTATTAACATTGTCACATCATGCCATAGATTAATAGCAGCCTCTTTACTAATAGAAGCAGAGTCATCAGTATGAATGGAAGCAGACTTTTCAGTGTCTTAAAAACTACTCAGATTTAAGAAACAATTTAGAACGCTCATCTTGACAATTTTGCTTTTCTAGAACCACACTGGTACCAAATGTCTTGGGCTGGGTTTTCTAGAGGCTAAACCAGTGATGCTTATATATGTATTTACATATATAGAAATTTATATTGAGAAATGGCTTAAAAAACAACAAAAAGATATGTCTCATACAGTTGTAGAAATGGGCAAGTCCAAGCTTGGTAGGCTCCAAGTCCATGGGTCACATATTATGCTGGAAGCTTCTCCTGACTTGGGTAGCTGTTGAGGGTGCTGAACCCTTCGGCAGGAAGAACAGAGGCAGATAAACCCAAGGTTAGCAGGTCAAAACCTGATTGCATAGTTGAATAATCCAATTCTGGCAGATCAGGTGACAGGCCTTTGACAACTCCTTGGATCAGCAGGCAATATATATAGCAGACCATTGACTCAAGTAGAAAGAACTGGAGTTTGAATGTGCCAGATGCAAGATCAATACCCAGCCCAAACAGAAGCAAGCTTGTCCAAGAATCTATCAGGACAAACCCCCAAGGAAATGTCATTTTATCAGGCCTGGCTTAGGAATGATTAACTTTGATTACATTGTTAGGGGAGGTCCCTGGGGGATTAGTAGGTATTAACTGCCAAACCACTAAGAAACCAGGTCCCGGCAAGCTGATAAACAAAACTTTTAATACAATGACCTATGAGCAAGTGATTCCTTCTGATATAGTTGTGGTTTACAAAAATAATAGATTGGTCAGGGTTATGTTCTGAAGTGCTGCTTGTAGGCAGAATAAGGAGAAACTCTTTAGGAATCTCCATTAATTCTGCTTAACTGAGTGAAATGTGTGGTGAGATGAGTTTCTGCCCTTGATATTTCTGGAAACACCTTTGAAAGGTTGTGATATTTTGAAAATATAATTTGCAAAAATGCCGACCCTCAGAAGGAATAAGAATTAGTTTTAAATAAAATGGCAAAGAGATAGTAGACGCTTGATTTGTGAGCACAAACTGGGAATTTTGTTTTAACTGAAAGCATTGCAATCTATGCACAATTTTTCCCCCTTTCAATTTACCTGGAAAAATTACTTAGAGGCAACAAATATTGTAAAATGTGCTTGATTAGTAATTTATTAAATTTACCTGCCAATTGATACAAAGTGTGAAGCCTTTCCTAAGATGTACTTACTTATAATCATTAAAAACAGTTGGTTCTTATAGGTTCCTTAATTGCACTATGTATATTTAAACTTTTAAAATAGAAGCCCATATCCACCAATTTTTCCACTACTTTCTCATAAAAATATTTTTAAAGATTTAATTTTCATAGTTCTTTCTATATTTAACTCAAACCAAGATTTTTCTATGAATGACATCTCTTTCCAAAAAGCTTAAAAGACAACAAAGAACAATGGGACCTTAAACCAAGTACTCTCATTACAATAGGAGTGTTTTACTTTAAGAAATAATGTGTAGTATTTTGCTGTTAACCTGTCATGCTAGATTTCAACTGTTTACAGACCACAGTAGATGCGTCTGAGTTGTACATATATGCAGTCCACTGTCATATGTGACCAGTTACCAGATAAACAGGCATACACACAGGAATCAACTGTTACAAATGGCAAAAGGCAATCTCGAAGAAAGCTAAACTTCAAAGAGAAACTGATACCAAGGGCTCAAGAAGAAAGTAAATGTTTAGAACATGATGGCAACATCTGTACAAATATGCTTGATACAATTGATGTATAAATTATTATAAGAGCTGTAAGAGCCTCCAATAAAATCTTTTAAAAATCTTCCCATAAATGGCAACTAGCATTGCCCTAATTTTCGGTAGACACACACACAAATCCTGAACAGATAACTGGTTTCTCCTACCTTCATTTCCCTTTGAGTGGTAGCTTGGACATCATGCTACGACCAAAAGGTATTTGTACCACTTTTACCTTGGCTACTTGCTTTTCTGATACACTGAATTTATCAAAAGGCACAAAGATTACACTCCTAAGAAATTTAGGATCTTTTGTCCCTTTTTAGGGTCCTCTAAAGTGATTTCCTTGACAAAAGTTAACTTAAGGAACTGGAAAAAAAAAAAAAGAGCTTCAAAAAGTTCCTAGAAAATGGACAACTACTGTGGAAAGCGATATGATGCTGCCTCAAACAGCTGGCAATAGAAATTCCTTACAAAGTGGAGAGGAAATGTTTTGAGAATGATGAGGGCAATGAATGTACAAATGTGCTTTACACAATTGATGTACGTATGGATTGTGATAAGAGTTGTATGAGTCCCTAATAAAATGATTTAAAACAATAAATAAAATTTAAAAAAGAAATTTCTTACAAGAATCCCTCTGCTGAGCATCTATTCTAATGTAAGACTCATACGTAATATCATGATAAATGGAGAAGAGATGGAAGTTGTCAAGGATTTCATCCTGCTTGGATCCACAATCAATGTTCAAGGAAGCAACAGTCAAGAGATCAAACTATGTGTTACATTGGGCAAATCTGCTGTATAAGACCTCTTCAGAGTGTTAAAAAGCCAGGATGTTAATTGGAGGATGAAGGGTGCCTCCTGACTCAAGCCATGGTATTTGTAATTGCTACATCTAGACATTGAATAAGGAAGACCAAAGAACTGATGCACTCGAACTGTGGTGGAGAATAATATTGGAAGTAGTATGGGCTGTCTAGAGGGCAAAGGGGCCTTGGCAGAAGCAGGGCCAGAGTGATAGTTTGAGACAAGGGTGGTGAAACTCTGTCTCATGTATTGTGGACATGTTGGCAGGAGAGACCGTTCCTTGGAGGACATCATGCTTGGTAACATAGAGGGGTAGCCAAAAAAGAGGATAGCCCTCAATGATTGGCACAGTGGCTGCAACACTACTTGAGCACAGGAATAATTATGAGGCTGGCACAGGCCGGCAGTGTTTCTTTCTGTTGTACTCAGCAAGGTCACCTTACAACAAAACTCGTAGCAGGAACAGGGATGTGCACACGCATGTTCACTGCAGCAATGTTCCCAACAACAACAAGATGGGAGCAAGATAAATGTCTATCAGTAGAAAACGGATAAAGCTTTGGTACACTGGGAGGTTAGAGGGAGGGTGGGGTGGAAAGGGGGAACCGATTACAAGGATCTACATATAACCTCCTCCCTCGGGGACGGACAACAGAAAAGTGGGTGAAGGGAGATGCCAGACAGTGTAAGATATGACAAAATAATAATAATAATTTATAAATCATCAAGGGTTCGTGAGGGAGGGGGAGCTGGGCGGGAGGGGTAAAAAATGAGGAGCTGATACCAAGGGCTCAAGTAGAAAGCAAATGTTTTGAGAATGTTGATGGCAACAAATGTATAAATGAGCTTGACACAATGGATATATGGATGGATTGTGATAAGAGTTGTAAGAGCCCCCAATAAAATAATTAAAAAATAAAAGAAAGAAACTTTGGTACATACACTCAACAGAATACTATGCATTAAAAAACAAACAAACACAACAATGACAAAACCATGAAGCACTTCATGAAATGGCTAGACCTGGAGAACATGAGTGAAATTAGCCAATCCCCAAAGGACAGATATTGTATGAGACCACTGATATAAGGGGTTGAGGGGAGATGAAATAAAAACAAAAACACGATAAAGACTTTCATACCAAAAGGAACAGATTTTGGAGTTTGCCAAAGTGGGGAGGGCCCAGGAGGGAAGAGAAAAGTAAAGGGCTGGCTGGCTAATGGTGTTGACTTGTATAAAGTGGACGCTAACCATCCACATGAAGAGGAAGCAGGGAATCTGGGAGGGAGGGAGTAAGGGAGGAGGTACACTGCTGGGTGGTTTGACTAAAAGTTTAGACTATGGAATACAAAGTTAATGATCAGCAATGTAAACCTCCACTAAGTTACAATTTTGAAAAAAATTCCTAGAAAAGTTCCAGTATCTTTCAACTCCATTTTTCCATGAACTTTTTGAAGCCCCCTCATAATAGAGCAACTTGATCTGTACCAAGTAAAAGGGGTAAATATATTAAGTTCCTTGAACTTTCATTTAGAATAAGAAGTCAGAAAAGCTTTATGAACAGACATAAAAATAGATGTTTATAGTAAATATGTATTAAATCTTACATATATATCAGAGCCCAAAGCAATAGAAATCAATAGGCATATATTCTGACATATTATCCTTAAGACAGATAGATACGTATCATTAACAAATAACAAAATAATGCATTACTTCAGAGGAGAATTAATGTTTCACCACAAAAACAGAGATGTACTGGATTTCAATTTTGATTCATTTTTAGACACATTTTTAAAGATTAAAAGGTCCAAACCAAACTCCACCTTAAAACAATCTTTATATAAATGTAAACTATTAATAATGTTCTCACAATGTAACACCTTTAGAAACTTTGAACTCCAGAAATTCTGACGTTATCCTCTTTGGCCTTAACATACTTAAAACATATTCCGAGAACCACATCCATGTTTTCAGTCCGTCAGTCCAGTAGGGAGGGAGGCGTTCTATTTCCTTCTCTTCTTCCTGGGTGGCTCGTCCTCTGAGCTGCTGCTGCTGCTGCTGGAGGAGGAGGAGCTGCTGCTGGAGGAGGAGCTGGAGTCCGAGTCCGAGTCGGAGGAAGAGCTTGTGGAGGAGGCTGACGATGGTGAGCTGGAGGAGCTTGCTTCGCTGTCACTGTCCTCCGAGGAGGACGAGGTAGACGTGTCTCCGCCCTCTGAGGAAGAGTCACTGGCTGAACTGTCACTGCTATCGCTACTGGAACTGGTTACACTCTTAGACCTGAAAGGCAACGAAGAGTTACATGTATGGAAGGCTGACATTTAACAGAAGTTTAAAAGCAATGTCCAGGGTAGCAATGATGAAACATATAACTTCCCTCTAGTTCTTTAATGCTTCCTCCCCACCACTATCATGATCCCAATTCTGCCTTGCAAATCTGGCTAGACCAGAGGATGTACATTGGTACAGATGGCAACTTGAAACACAGAGAACCCAGGATAGATGACTCCTTCAGGACCAGTGGTGAGAGGGGCGAGGCCTGGAGGGTGAAGGGAATGCGGGGTAGAAGGGGGGAACCAATTACAAGAATCTAAGTATAGCCTCCTCCCTGGGGGATGGACAGCAGAGAAGAGGGAGGAGGGAGACGTCGGACAGTGTAACTTATGACAAAACCATAATAATTTATGAATTATGAAGGGTTCATGGGGGGAGTGAGCAAATAACATTAAGGGCTAAAGTAGAGGGCAAATGTTTTGAGATTGATGAGGGCAACAAATGTACATATGTGCTTGACTCAATGCATGTATGTATGGACTGTGATAAGAATTGTACAAGCCCCCAATAAAATAATTTTTAAAAAAAGGCAATGTCCTACACATGAGAGAGCTTCCAAAAAGTTCATGGAAAAGTTCCATTATCTTTTAGTTGCATTTTTTTCCATAAACTTCTTGTAGCTCCCTACCCCATTCTATCCCATCCTCCGGTAGGCACACACATTGTGGCTTTGCTAGCATCTTATTCCAAAATTTGATGCTTTGAGAATTGGTTTAATGCTGTAAACTTTACTCCCCTCTCAAGATTTTTTTGTTTCTTTGTTACTTCAGAAATTTAAATCCCTTGGAAAGAAGATAAGTGTATCCATTGCATTATGTCCCAGAGTGAATAATGTTAATGAAACTGCCGAGCAACAAATGGGTCTATTCAAACCTCATGTAAAATGGTAAATCTGTAACTACTTTACACCAGACACAGCTGGCCAACACTTTCTTTTTTTTTTTTTTAACACTTTCTTACCAATCTACTAATATTTACTATTCTGAGCCCAGTGAAGATAATTAAAAGTGTTTACTATTTCAAGCTATAGGACTCTAGAAAGTTGGAGAAAGGAAGGTTAAAATCCTCCAGCAGAAAACAAGAAGAGTATATCAGAAAACAGGATGGCACTTTGATCAATTACTAGCAACAGACATCGGACTGAATCTTGTAACTATTATTTTAAAATCACTTTCCTATCCCTCCAACTATTATCACATGTTAATTATCAAGTATGAAATACTTATAAATCCATACATACCTTTTTTTCTTGGTCTTTCTTTCTACATTAGTTTCTGCAATGCTAATAAACACAAAGGGGTGGGGGGAGTTCCTGTTAATAACAGAGTGATTATACAGTTCAGACATAACTGCTCGTATCCCCAAAGAGTTTCATATTGGGTAAACACTTTGCCTGTAACAACATGTCATTAGAGTACAGTACTCTTCACTATACTTAAGGGGAGGCTTCCTACTGTAGTCTGAATATGGTAAATGCAGCCAAATTTACCAGCACTTAAGCAAGACAGATTGTGTGACCTGGGCCCTCAAAGCAGCTTTGTTAAAATGGCCAACAATTACTTTAAACGAAAGCTGAGCGAGCCGAGCGACTGGAGCAAAGGAAGCAGAATAAGCAGACCAGAACCAGAGCGTGTTCACAGTGTGAGCGCTGTGTCCAATGCCAGGGCAAGCCGTGTAGCAACTGCTACATGGGGACTTAAACCGCTCTGTGGGCCTGCCCTGAACTCAGCAGCATATGAAAAATCAGAACAAAAGTTAACTGGAGCCACCCCACTGGACTTCCTTTTAGTTTTGAACTTTTAAAAATCAACAACTAGATGAACCTTTAGCAGAGCAAACAAGGACAAAGCAATAGCTGTAATTTCAGCTTCCAGAGTCAAATTGTAAACCGACCTTTCATATAAAAGAAACTTTATTTTAATTTAAAAGAATAATTTTTTTGCACATTAACCCCATTTGTTCAGTTACTTACTTTTTAAAGCCAGAAACATAATCATGGGCATTATCACATTATCATGAACAAAGTCCAATGATTTTTTTAATGAAATGCACAAATGTCTTGCTATTATATTTCTGCTGAGCATCCGTACTGCACCAGGTTTACAGAGTGACCTCTTTCACTGGAGTCCTGTCCAGTGATCTTAATGGGTCTGCCTTCTAAACTTTTCCACAATTCCTATCATTCCTGTTTCCCAAGTTTTCAAACATGAATATGTCCTTATGTAAAGTTGCCTTACACAATGGAATTATTTATTCAACTAACATTTTGTGTTCACGGAAATTCATACATAATAGACTGTTTTAACATTCAACCAAAATAAGCAGTCTTAATGGAATTTCCTGTACTCCTATGTATCTTGAAGACCAATATACCTCTGTGGCACAATAGAGTAGACAAACAAAAATGCTGAAATGAAATTATTCATCCTCTGAAATTCTCTTCTTTAGGATAGTGGTTTTGAAGTGCATTTTGCTTATGTGCCTACTAATAAATTTTGAAAGATGATGTTTACTCTCTCCTGTATTTTTTAGCTTAACTATCAAACTAAGACAGACTAGGAAAAAAGAATGGGATATTTACTTCTCAGAAAACACTGGCCCATGAAAACCTTGGGCATAGCAGCTGAACATTATCTCATATGGTGTCAAAATATTTAAAATGGTGTCAAATGATTTAAAAGAAAAAAGAGTTGAAAAGGAGAATGTATAAAGTATGACTCTAGAAAAAATGAGGAAATCGTAATATTCCTGTCTGCTTCTTATTCATTTCTCCTTCCAGGAAGTGACTACTGTTATCAGTTATTTATATATTCAAATATAAGTCCGATTCCTTTCTTATCAAGCATAAATATGGCATGTAATATATATTGTTCTCTACCTCGCTTTTAGGTGCCCTAATGGTTCACCCAGGGAAGCACTGCACAACGTTTAAGAGCAGACTCTGCAGATACGTTGATTGGCTTAAACCTAACTTTTTTTTCACTTATTACTTGTGACTCTTTTTAAACATTTTATTGGGGGCTCTTACAGCTCTTATCACAATCCACACATCCATTGTGTTGAGCACATTTGTACATATGTTGTCATCATCATTTTCAAAACATTTTCTTTCTACTTGAGCCCTTGGTATCAGCTCATTTCCCCTCCTCCCCCATGAACCCTCGATAATTTATTTTTAAAAATTCCCCATGTCTTACACCTACCACTGTCTCCTTCGCCCACTTTTCTGTTGTCCATCCCCCTTGGAAGGTATATGTAGATCACTGTGATCAGTTTCCCATTTCTCCCCCTACCTT